GAACCTTTGTTATAACGAACCTTGTTTCAATTTCTACCTTTCTAGTAGATTCGAATCCTCTAATTCACGAAACTCAATATAATTAAAGTATCCATAATGGAGAATTACGTTTTTACAAGCTTGTTTAGTCGCTAAAGCCAAAAGAAGGTGAAAACTAAAGTGAAAAGATATAGTAATTAATTTATCGTTATACACACGTTAAAGTAAATTCCGTGCCGGGTAATTAAATGATGACAATGAAGATAACGATAATCAACGTTATGCATGACCGGTATTACATCATATAATAATGTAATAAGATCAGAAATGTACCATTTATCATCCAGTTATTCAGGGCATTAACGTTAACGTTAAAGATATAGTTAATCGACAGTTTAATTCTAATTGTAGCTTTATATTATGTAGAATTAACACTTTGTATTCGGAGTATATTCGGAGTATAATTTATCGATTAAAACGAAATTCGAATTCGAAATTTATTAACGAAAATTAGAGAAAATAGAATGTTTCAAAAGGCATTTAATAAATTTTCAAAAGAAAAACTTCAAAACTATTAAATATTTTTACTGTATAACAATATTTATTAGAATAATTATTTTTTAAAATATATACTTTTAATAATAAAATTTAATCTTATATAGTAATGTATAAAAAATTTAACCCGACCGGGTAACAAAAGAATACAACTAGCAAGTTCTACATAAATTCTTATTACTTAGTTAAATTCAATTATATCCTTAAGCGAACTTCTTCATATATAGTAATATTGATATTTAGTTAAATAAATTTTATTAGCGTTGTATAAAAAAAATAGCTTAAAATATATTTTTTAAAAGAATTTTATAATTAAATCTTTGTAGTATGGTGGTTGGTTCGTCGGTTTTCTATGAGCAAGTTCTGGGTTCGATACCTGGTTAACAAAATGCATTATAGAAAATGTATGTGAACCGTGTTACAAAAATCATACCTTTAGTTATGATCTTCGGGGATATGTGACAAATACTAAATCTCAAATTACGTTTTTTGAAAATTAAGATCTGGAATATGGGAATTTAATTATTTGCTATAAATGATTAGCATGAAACTTGGAATTAGATAGAATGAAATGGACAACAAGTATATTTCGAACGATGATTCTTTTTGAAATCAGGTCACGAGTCGATTGACCGGCTTAGCTTACTTAGCCAACTTAGACGGCTTATCGTTATCAGAACTTGACGACTCTTTTTTATATAAATAATGATCAAAAGAAATCTAATGAAAAATAATGGTGTGTTAAAAACATCCAAATTCCACTTATAATGGAAAAAAGTAAATCTGATCTTTTAAAAGAAGCAACAAATCTATCTCAGTATTTAGATGATTCAACTCTTAGAGATGTAGAAGCTAAAACAAATGTCACTCCTTTTTTGTACTATTCCGTTTTGACCGCAGCTTTGAGTGGATTGTCAATTGGGTATCTATTTTTATCTTATAATTTAATTACTATCGTGATTTTGTTTTTCCTACAAAATTTTGTTCTAAAATTTTTTATAGTTATGATACAGGTATTATTGGTATCGCAATGTTAATATTAGAAAAAGACCATAACTTAAGTTCAGCTGAACAAACCTCGATCGTTGGAGGTATAAATTCAATAAATGCTTGAATATCCGAAAAATTATATACATTAAAATTATTTATTTGGTCTCTATTTTAGCAACTACATTAGGTGGCGCAATCGGCGCTTTGGGTGCAGGTAAATGGATCAACATGCCACGAGGATCTCTCTCAAATATATTATGTCTAATTACTCAATTACTTAATTAATTAATTATATAATTAATTAATTAATTAAATTTAATTAATTAATTATTACATAATTTAAAATAATTAGGTTGGATCGCTGATTTTTATGGAAGAAAGACTTCAATTTATTTAGGTGCATGTTTGTTCGTCATAGGCTCATTGATGATGTCTTTGTCATCAACAACTACCGTTTTGTTGATTAGTAGATTAATAACGGGAATTGCTAGTGGCATTGCATCTATGGTCGCTCCAGTATATATTAGTGAAATTTCTCCAAAATATCATCGTGGTCAGCTAGTTATCTATAACGTTCTACTATCTAATGGTGCAACGTTTATTGCCATATTATCAGGGATGGTATTGGTATCAGATGATGGATGGAGATGGATGGTTGCTTTTGCTTCTGTCCCTTCATTAGTACAGCTTTTTGGTATGCTGAATTTGGTACAAAAATTCTTTCGTTGATTATTTTATATTTAGTAGCATAATTGTATGAAAAAAAATTCTTTATTATAATAGGTTTATTATTTGTTCCAGAAACTCCAAGGTTTCTTGTGAAACATGGTAACTTTGAAGATGCTAGAAAAGTTTTGAGTAAAATTTATCCTGATTCATCTCAAGAATTCTTGGATAAAGGTAAAAATCTCTTATCAAATTGTCATATATAATTAACTTGTAAATTGATTTATAAATCATTTATTTATTGTCTAGAAATTGAGGTTATTCATTTAGTTATTTCCGAAGATGCCAAGGGTTCTTATAGAAAGCTGATACAACCTCCTTATTTAAGGCCATTCTTAATTGTATGTGCGATTGTGAGTTTACAAGAATTATGTGGATTTGATACCTTTATGTATTTTAGTGTAAGTATAAAAACAATTTGATAATCAATAATTGTGTTACACTTGTATATTTTTTATTAAGATTAATTAATATTAATTAGTTTAAATTTTTAGGCTATTCTCTTAAATATTACTGGTTTCACTAATACGAATGATGCTTTAAAATTTTCCCTTTTTGTTTATGGTGGAAATTTCCTTATGTCAGGTAAGGTGCAAGTAAGTTGTTATTTATATACTTTAATTAATTACTAATAATTTATTTTAATATAAATTTTTTTTTTTAAGTGATAGCGATATATCTAGTTGACCCTGTTGGTCGTCGTAAATTGCTTTTATATACTCTATTTGCAATGATAATCGGTTTATTCCTTCTTGGAACTTCTTTTATTTTTGTTACAGGATTTTCTACCAAACAAAACACTTGTTCTGATTATGGAAACAATTGTAACGCTTGTATAATTGATAGACGATGTACATTTAACAAACTTAATGGAATTTGTGTTTTAAATAACAATAATTCTACTCAATTTACCGTTTCTTGTGAGAATAATAATCGCTTTTTCGTGCTTGGTTCCTTGACATTTTCCATTATGGGTACGTCTTATTATATTTATATTTTATATTTATATTTATATTTTATATTTAATTACTATTTAACTTTCGTAACGTTTGTAGCATATGCTTTGGGTATTGGAAGTGTTACATGGTTGTTACAAAGTGAGTTGCTTCCATTGAGTGTACGTGGTCGAGGTGTAGGAATTGCAACTGGTAATCATTTTACAGTATTAAGCATCATATGATTTTATTATTCTATGGATTTTTAACTTTTTATATAATTTAATAGCTGCAAATTGGGCAACAAACTTTTTAGTTGGGATAACTTTCTTACCACTTATAAATATCATATCAATTCCTGGTATTTTCTTTATTCTTGAAAAAAATATTAATATAATGATATAGTTTTATTTTTAACATAATTAGAATTAATGAATTTTTGTTTTAATTTCAAAGGTATATTTTGGATGTTTGCGATGTTTACAGTATTGACATGGTGGTTTGTATTTCTTTTCATACTAGAAACTTCTGGTAGATCACTTGAAGAAATTCAAAAAATTTTTATTACACAGTAATTAAGTATTAGATGATTATTAAATTTCTCTTATAACTATAGGAAATCTTTTTTTTTTTTTTTGATAAGTTATTATTAAATCTATCGTTAGTTTGATATTTCTAATTTTATATACATCGTAATTTTTTTGGAGGGAATATTATTATAGTGCCATAGCACCATAGTGCTACATTATATGTAAATATAAAATTGGTACAAAAAATAAATGTTTAATTAGAGTTAAATTAAAGTTAAAGTTAGGCTTGGCATAGCTTGTACTAAAAATTTGCAAGAAATTTTTTTATTAGAACACAAAAAATGGTTTTTTTTAGTCAAAATTTTAAAAATATAATTTTATTTTTATTACACAAAGTAGTAAATTTTAATTGGTTACAATATAATACGTAGTAAATATCCCGATCATAAAAATACCCGATTCGTATATCAGCAGAATTAAAAAAAATCTTTATTGAACCTGATATAGAAGTTATTAAGATATATTCTCTCAAAGTTTTTATTTTTTCATTAACGTATGGTTTCCGATTTGTCATGCAGATCACGTGTATAAATTTTAATTATCTCTACATAAAGAATACAATTTATGCGGTATATCATTTTTAACCATTCCTAAAATTTGATATCTATATAAGCCGCTAACCCTAACTGCATCAAAAAAGTAATCCTAACTGGTACCCGGCTTTAAAGTGTGACAATTTGACTCATAATTAAAAACTTTACGTGTGACAAATCGTGGTATTGATAAATTAGCTATTCACGTTATACGTAGCAACATTATAACAATTAGCAAAATCCTAAAATTTGAAATTATCAATGGATCCAAAATATGAAAACTTCACCGAAGGCTCGCAACAAGGTATCCGAATCCGTGGGTGGACGATCTCAACTACTAAACTTCCAATTTTTAGTTCACAAGAAATTGATCGGTACTCTTATTTTTACTCAACTACTTTTATGTCGAGTCGCCGTTAAATGTTTGTGATCAATTCTCACTTTTTTCAAAATAGAGTACAAAAAGAAATTTCTATTCCACTTCCGGAAATGTTTTTTGGCAATAATAAATTACGAGTAACCAATGAACACGGAGTTGTTTTTGAATTATCACCAGTGGATTCGTTAAAATTTATTGATGCAACCGACGAAGGTGGAAATAAAGTGAAAGTCGCATATTCAGAAGAATGGAAACATAAAAGGTAATTCTTAAATTAAGACAAATATTTCAACGGTCAAGATAATTGATTAACTTGATTTTTATTTGATAGTGCCAAGAATCATGGATATATCAAAGATGTAGTCAAACCTTATGATTGGACATATTCTACTTCATATTCTGGTACATTGACACATGGACAAGTATGTCATAATTATTCAGAATGGTTTAATTCATTTCTTTCAGGGAATTTACTCGTTATTTAACTTAATATTATTTTTATAATTATTAGCAAATTTTTGAAAAAACTACTGAAAGAATTGACATAGAAAAACTCAAACTTCCTGAACCAATTTTATTTTACGATGAAGTTATTTTATTTGAAGATGAATTAGCTGATAATGGAACTGCGATACTTAATGCTAAAGTGGTGAGTTTAAACATCACCAAAACAAAGTTGATATTACAATATTCAAGTCAAATAAATATTAAAAGAAATAAATTGAATTTAAAGATAAGTTATGTAATTGTCCTTATTAATTTTTTTTTTTAATCATGATTCATTAATTCATTTAATTTAACTGATTATAGCGAGTTATGCCATCTGGATTTTTCATACTTCAACGATTCTTTTTACGAGTTGATGATGTATTATTTCAACTTAACGAAACAAGAATTTATCATGAGTTTGGAACAAAGTATCTATTAAAAGAATATTCTTCAAGAGAAATTCCTTATAATAAAATTAAAGCGGTATGTTATTTCTTTAAATTTGCAACTATTAGAATTTAAATTGATCAATTTTATGTTAATAGCAAATACCAAAAAGTAAAGGCAACGACATATCACAACTCACGGATCCAGATTGGGTATCTTCTAAATTACCAAAATCAAAAGAACATGACTTGATATTGGAAAAGTTGTGTGTTGTTCCTTTATTATCATAAAATTAATGGTTAAGCGTATTAAAAAGGTAAGTTATTAGTGTAAAACTTTTGAAATTTAATCATGAGTAATATAGTGCAAATCATATTAAATAATATGGAATATTAGATTATATCATTTAATATATTAAAAGTTAATAAAAGAAATTTTTAAAAACAAGATTATATAATCGATAACACATTGACAAAACCATAATAGCTTTAAATTTTGAATTGTTAAATAATGTAATGGATTTACAATTTCAGAAACCTTTTTATACAGCCAATAATGCATTTAATTATCGCTGTTTTCAAAATGGTTAAAATGACAAATAATTTTTTTTTTTGGCGAACACTCGTACATTGATTGAAGATCGATGCACGACTTTATATAATTGTTCTGAACAATTACATAGAATTGGGCAATCAACGTGCTAAAGTAATAAATGTATGAGTATACTAGTGTACGCCAAAAAGAAATTTTATTTGCCATTTTCAACCATTTTGAAAATAGCGATAAATCCAATAAACTTTTTATTAGGCATACAAATTAGTTTCTTGTTATGATAACCCGGTTTGAATAGTTTATTTTGATCTTGGCAATTATAATACGACAGGATGAAACCTTAGCTATGATCATCGCATGAGGGTGAAATCCGCTTTTATAAGTTTATTTTATTATTAGAGTTAGGATATAGTTGTGTTAAAGTTAGTAAAAAAACTTTTTTTGTTAGAACATAATAGTATTATTATAAATGATTGACATCAAAAAAAAACCACTGGTTCTTAAGTTTACTTAGGCATAATTAAATTTACTTGTATAGTATGTGTTTTCATTAATAATATTGTATATCAAGATTGGTTTTTTTTACTTTATCTACAATAATTTATAATACAAACTGAATTTTTGCTAAATCGAACCTTATTCACTAACATTAAGTAATTTTGTTCGAAATACCAATTTTTGTTTCAAAATTTTTTGTGAAATATTAACTTATAACATTTTGGAGCAACAAATTAATTTATAACAAAAAGGCTTACTAATAAAAAGTAAATATTTCACAAGTAAAAAAGGCAATATTACCTAGTAAATGATATTTAATTAGTAAAAAGTCCAGTTTTTCTTGTAATAGTTTTAATTCATCATTTTACCCTCCATTCACACATAATATCCGCATTTACCTTATCGCTATACATTTAAAAATAAAATATTACCGTTACTGTTTATGCAAATTAGATGAATTTATACCTATTAGACCCATTTGTATTCATCATTTTACCCTCCATTCACACATAATATCCGCATTTACCTTATCGCTATACATTTAAAAATAAAATATTACCGTTACAGTTTACGCAAAGTAGATGAATTTATACCTATTTGACCCATTTGTATTGTATAAAATTTTATAGTTGGCCATTGTTCAAAAACAACGCGCATGCGGCACATATTATTGAGATCACTAAATGGGAAAGAAGGAAGCAAAATAGATTGAGTGTTTCGCGCAATAAATCGACTCGATCTACCGAATATTATAAAGATCCGATAAAGCAATCAACCTTAAAAAACATGAAGAAACCGTTTATGTATGTAATCGAATATATTTTGCTTAAAGAATATTGGGAAAGCAGTTCTAACTTTTTTTTTCACTGAATAGCGTGATTCAGACTGGGATAAGTGGCAAATAGAAAAAAGAGCAGTATGATTAATAATAAATGTCGCAGCTGATGCTGATATTTCAGGTCTCAGCTTGAGTCTACTAAACCTACTAAAATTCTCACACACTCTTTTATTAGCGCCTGATATGAGAGTATTTTGCCTTGAATCGAACACAAAGTATAAATTAATTATATGTAGAGATGGGTTTCATGCGCATTTTGTCCCATCGAAATTTTAAGTAAAAAAGTTAAATAGAAATTTTTATCATACGCATTTTATCCCATCACTAGGCATATGATGCAATTGTGATAACGAAATACGTAGTCCTATCGTACTGATTCATATTTGCGAAGTATATTTCGATTCATAATCGTTAGAGTTTATCAATATGGTTACGTAATTGAGTAGTATTTTCTATCTGGTGATCGTTAGAGTTGTAGTAACGACGCAATTGCGTAGTTTTTTCGATAGGGCATTTAAAGATGAACGGGTTTTCCCAAACAAGAATTTCTGTTTTGTTCTGCCCAACTTTGATTTTTTGTCCTTTCCCTCCTTCGAATGGGGCCTAGCGAGCGATTTTTCAGTAGGATTCGCAGGTGGCCTGTCGGGACGACAGTCACGTAAGAATCACTTTGTGCACATAGAACGATAGTTGAGATATTAAGTTTTGATAAGTGGCCTGTTGGGATGACAGTCACATGAAAATTATTGCATTACACTTGGGTAGGTATTGTTTGATGGAAAGAATGAATTATTAATCGTTGCTTTAGAAAATATCAGTGGGTTTAATCTTTGAGTAGGTGACTGACAGTCACGAAGAACTATTACCTTTTTTTATTCATATCACACTTGGATTTGGCTTGTTGGATGACTGTCAAATCTTAGGTCTTTAGTAAGGGAAGTACCGTTTATTACGTAATTTTAAGAGAGATAGCAGTCATATCACGTCTAGATGTTTTATATAAACATTATGATTGGCAGCTAATTCGATTACCGAGGAGGGACCTTCTAATAAAAAAAATTACGTAATAAATGGCACTCTCCTAAGTGGCCTGTCGAGATGCAGTCACGAGAAATTATCACATATGTATACTCATTAGGTATTGCTTTGATGTAATGAATTGAACAAGAACTTAGCTCACAGCTAAAAAGGGTTTATTGACACATTTTACTGACACTCTTAAATTATGCGTTATGTTTTAGTATTTGCACGAATCAGCAGAGGCAGAATATCCGTAATTGTATTTCATTGTTTTTACATGAGACAAGATAACCTAAAAAGATGCGGACTAAAATTTTCATATCAAAATAAGGTCAATTCTCAGTATCATATTTATATTGATTCATGATAAGGTCTATCAGGCAAATACTGAAGTTCATAGAGGATGAAATTTAGTCGTTAGTAAAAGGGCAATAGAACAGAGTGAAGAAAGGTTACAAAAATGATAAAATCAGTAAATTTACAATGGTTCACGAATAGGGATGGCAACGGTCGGCTTAGCCGACCAGCTAAGCCGTGACTATCTCGTGATCCAGTGATCCAAATTGAATGATTTTAATACCATTCGAATCGTCTCAATGAGACGATTCAAATGGTACTAAAATTATCCAATTTGGGAGTACTGGATCACGAGATACAGTTAGCGGCTACAAAACGGCTAACCGGAAAATGACCATCTCTATTCACGAAACATTCATGTAAGTCCTTATAAATAATAATATCAATTAAAGAGCAAGAGAATGAAAATGAAGTTACGGAAAGAGTCAAAAAGAGACCATGTTAATCTAACTATGTGTGGTCTTCCTTATGAATGAGTCTTGTTCACAGCATCAAACATCAAGTTCATCATATTTATTGTCTGTTTTGAAGAAATACCGTACAAATGAAACCACTTTAATCTATGAGTAAGTTGTTGTAATGTGTCAATGATATCTTTTATTACTTCTCACTTTCTTTTTATTTTATTTATTTTTTAGAAGTTCAGCAAAAGAATTGGAGATTATTATTACAAAACCATCCATATTTATTTCTAAATTAAAGATTTTTGTTAAAAAATAATAATGAAAAGTGGATTGAGAATCAAAAGAAGACGAAGTAGTCCGAAAGTCTTACCATCACGTTTACGGGTTGAAAAGATGAGCTTGGTTCCAAGTTGATATCACTTTGAATTTTTCCACTAAGTATCACAAGCATGCGAAAAATGGTATGAACTTAGAACTTTGAATACTCATAGACACAATGCAGAGAAAGGCTGGAAGAAAATAAAATATTGGGTTAAGTGATAGGATAATTGTACAATGTTGTCTATTGGAACGTTCTAGTGGAAATTACTGGAACTTAAGGTCACTGGAAGCATAATAGCTTTAGTAATCGGATGTCACTGGACTGTTCCAGTGACTTCTGATTGGTCAATTCGAGTGTAAAAATTAAGATTAACCTAACTGCCACAACAACAAATTCTCGATCAAAAAAATTTTGGTCGGAATTTTACTAATGAATCACAGCTGCCCATTAAGTGAACTGGGTTAATTTTACGATCAGGTAAAATCTCTACTCAAAAAAGTTTCGAACACCATGTAACGGATATATCGAGCACAAAAAAAAATACAACCAAAAAAATTTAGACTATTTAGATTCATTATGTTCAATTTTTTGCTGTTGCGTTCTGGATTCAAATAAATAATCAGCAATTAGCCATCAGGCAAATTCGTTCCAGTGAGAAAATTGTTCCAGTAGGATTTCTCAATGGAAGCACTGGAACTTTGGACGTCCAGTAGGATTCCAGTCTCCCAATGACAACACTGTTATAGAATTTTATGCAATATGACTGTTATTATAGTTGATTAACCAGCCTTGTTTTTACTACTATATATAGTTTGAATGTATTTGAATAATCTCCAATCCCTTTGCAGAATGATTGTTCTAAATGTGAATGAACAGGTGATTACATCCTTCTTTTAATACAAGGTAAGTTGACAAATGATAGAAATCTCTCTAAGTGTACCTTTTCTAAGTGCGTACCTTTTTTAAGTGCTTGGTTCAAAGTTTGGAACTTAATGCTAAATGCATCAATGAAAGTAAAAACTGCTGAAGAATTATTTAACCATTGGACAATGATGGTAAAAATAGTAAAGTACTGTACATGCTCAAGAAAGACAAGCAACTTATACAAATAAGAAAAGAAGTTTGTAGAGTTTTTCATAAAAGAGGTGGTAATACTAAGTACTAGCTGAAAGTTCAAAGAGAGCAACAGAGAAACTTATCCTAAAATTTGTTGAACCTTTCAAAGTCATCAAAATAATTGCACCTATCATGTATCAGTTGGAACTACCAAAGACAATGAAAACTCATTTAGTATTTCAC